GAAATACCTTAAGCCAAATTATAACTTCGCAACCACAGCAGCTGTTCCATTGGAAATCGGCGATGTGTGGGCAATGCTATGCCCTGAACGGTGACATAAAGGAAAGTTAATTTTTGGCGCCAAGGTTGAATAACTATGCTTTTCCGCCACGACACAATTTCCTACTTTGATCGCACTTTTGGTTTGTTAAAAACCTCGATTTTCGGAATTTACGTTAAATTATTCATCGGAATTATCCTTAAAGGAGTAGAGACTCGCCATTCACCCGAACAGTGCGGATGCGATCACAACCGGGCGGACCGGCGCGGCGCGGCGCGGAGCTGCCGTCCGGCCAGCCCCGCGCGCTGCCCGGCCCCTGCCGGCCGGCGCCCCGCGCTGCCCGGCCCCTGCCGGCCGGCCGGCCCCGCGCTGCCCAGCCCCTGCTGGCCGGCCGGCCCCGCGCTGCCCAGCCCCTGCCGGCAGGCCGGCCCCGCGCGCTGCTCAGCCCCTGCCGGCCGGCGCCGCGCACTGCCCAGCCCCTGCTGGCCGGCCGGCCCCGCGCTGCCCAGCCCCTGCTGGCCGGCCGGCCCGGCGCGCTGCCCAGCCCCTGCCGACCGGCCCCGTGCGCTGCCCAGCTCCTGCCGGCCGGCCGGCCTGGCCCGCGCCGATGCTGCCGGCAGTGGTCGGCCCGCTCCCGCGCTTGTCCAGATGGACGTCTCCAGACGGCTGGAGTCATTGTTTGAAAGGCGATAGCATCACGGTTATCGGCCCTCTCCCTCACAGCCAATGACATCGGTCGTCTCAGCTGTCGCTCAGTTAGCGGCGTGAGCTTCGTCTGGATAGACGGTTCCACGTGGACAGGGATAATGAACCACCAATTTGCCGCAGAAGACAGGGCTTGCGTTGACTTGCTTAACCTGAAGCTTAAGGCGGCCAATAAAGAGCTGCAACCTGTCACCAAAAGGGTCATTGTTGGCGACCACCAGCTCCTGAGACTTGCACCAGTCAGTGACAAGGTGTGCGCAGAATGCTGCAAAGGAGGCCCCGATGAAGGGTGCTGAGGTCATTCATCTGCCACATACGACCTCGTCGACCAAAACCGGACCCGTCTTCGTCTGCCCATCTAGCTTGCTTGCACAGCCGGGCGCGTCAAATCTGCAGGATCCGTTACACCGGGGCCCAGGGTCAGCTCCATACAGCGGCCTTCCTGAACAACCACCAGCCTCCTCAGCAGCCATGCGTGTGGACCTTCAGCATCGGTCACGCAAATGCTAAATTCATTCGAAGACGCTCTTAACAGCCTGATCGCCCAGGAGGATCTGGGTGTATCATGACTGACATCGGAGAAACGCCGTTCTGTACTGCTGAACTGACAGCTGGTTTGCATCTGTCTGCTGCAAGGGAAATTCATGAAAAACCGTATCCAAGATTCAAGATTTACTGAAGATTAGACTACGTGATGAGGTATTCTTTTTTAATTGTCGTCTACGTTGAAAGGTTAATGCATCTGTGTCACGTCACTGGTAAGCGCGTAATCAATTTCGCACCAAAGTGACATTGGATAATGAACAAAATCAGAAATGTTGCCAATCGGATCTATAAATGTCCAAATCGAATAGATATCACATGACTGGAAAGGACACCCTGGGTTAAAGAGCGTCCTCCCGAAAATGTGCTGTTTTCTAAGTAACCTCAAACGACGCCAGATAATACAAAAGAAACGAGAGTCGGTGAAAGTAAAACATGGAAACAGCATTCTGTTTCATACGGGGCCGACATCGAGGAAAAAGACATGTAAACACACCTGTACATTGCACTGCACGACAAACTGATGGCGAATATTGTAAGCAAATTTTATCAACCATCCACACCATTCGCGACCAAACAACGCATTCTTTTACTGTGTCCAATGAAATCCAGAAAACTGCCTCCAGGTTTGGTGCCACGATCCACATGAGGAAAAGCACGCAAAACTTTGAATAAATTGACTGAGTTCTGACGGATCCGAAAATACATACGGCAGCTGTGCATACTGTAAAACTGTACGCACAACTTAAGTTGCTGGCATTTGTGTGAGCGATAACGAAGGTTCAGCTTCTCAAATAACTGCTGGGGAGGCTGCTGACTGTTCAGAAGACCGCTGTGCGGAGCTGACCCTGGACCCCGGTGTAACGGACCTGAAGATTTGAGGCACCCGGTGGTGGGAGCAAGCTCGACGGGCAGACGGAGACGGGTCCGGTTTGGTCGGCGAGCTCGTATGTGGCGGATGAATGACCTCGGCACCCTCCATCGGGCCTCCTTTTCTGCATTCTGCACATACCTTGTCACTGACCGGTGCAAGTCTCAGGAGCCGGTGGTCGCCAACAATGACTTTTTTTGGTGACAGGTCGCAGCTCTCTATTGGTCGCTTCAATCTTCAGGTTAAGCGGGTTAGCGCAAACCCTACCTTTGAATTGTATTGGCTCTTCATAATCACCGGCCATGTGGAACCATGTATTCGGACAAAGCTCACGCCGTTGACTGAGCCACAGAGACAGCTGGGGTGATCCATGACACGGGATGTGAGGGAGAAGGCCGATTACCGCTGCGCTCTCATATTTCAGGCAATGAATCAGTCCGTCTGGAGTCGTTCTTCTGGACCGGGACGGCAACTGACAGCTACCACCGGGAGCCAGCTACCGGCAACCGCCGGCAGCACCGGTGCCGGCCGATCTATGCTGTGACTGCAGAATAAGGGCCATTTGATGTAACAAATGGCATTTCCGCCATGACGTCATTTTCTGCATCATCATCAGCAGAAAACGACTATGCGCAGACGTCTAAAAGCTTTGAATTGGGACCAGAGAACGAAATAACATTCTCGTGATTTTTTTCAAGATATGATACGGTGGTATGCAAAATTACACATTTGGTGGGTGTGGAATGGCCGCGCCACAAATTGCACAAACTCGCAACCATAAGCGTACCAACCAGTACGGTCGATGGGCTCCGGATCCCTGTGGCTTGTGAGCAGACGCAGCTATTTCCGTGTGTTGATCATGTGAAATGGCACGAAAACAGGAGACCCAGTGACATTTGTAGTGTGCTTAGGACAACCATTTTTGTTGAATGGAAGATTAAATTGCACCACCACTTATAATCGGAGCAATATTGCTAGCAGAAGTGGACGTTCGCATCAAATGTAATCTATGAAACCAGTCATCTACCAGCCCAGTTTCAAATTACATGGCAACTGCGGCATATATGGGCATCCTTATTGTTTTTAAAATGGACGTTGGTACTTTCAGCCTGCCTGAAACGACGTTGTTCATCTCCTCATATGTGGCTCTCCTTGCATGGTACAAGAAAACCGCGAATTAGCTCCAAATCCATGGATTTTCCAAACTGTGATAAACTTTCAAGAGCAGTGGGGGACAGTACGCGAGTTTCCACAAATTTCCGACGGCTAGCGCCATCACATCCCGAACATACATCGCACCTGTACTTCCAAGCCTCGTTGTGAGATGGCGCTAAACGCGAAACATGGGCGCCGAGACACTCACTGGTGCTAGAGCCACGCCGGAAATCACTGCAGCCCACCCTGCCGCCCCAGTAGGCCCCACGAAAGATCTCCCTTCGACCTCCGGCCCAGACCGGTGTACATAACCATGTCGTAAAACGCGGCGGAGTACAGCGCAATGGAATGCGATGTAGTTCACCTGCCAGGGCGCTGTAGGCGTCATTTGCACCAGGTGGTTAGCCTTTGCACCCGGACTGCCCTCCCGACGCACCGTCTCATGCTCGGCCCCTGTGGTCCCCATCCGTACTACCATTTAGACACACCGTCTCATCCTCGGCCCTCGCATCCCTCCCCCATCCGTATTGCTCTTCCGACACACTGCCCCATCCTCGGCTCTCGCATCCCTCCCCCATCTGTACTGCTCTTCCGGCACCCTGCCTCTCCTCGGCCCCGCGATCCCCCTCCGTACTACCCTTTAGACACACCGTCTCATCCTCGGCCCTCGCATCCCTCCCCACATCCGTACTGCTCTTCAGACACCCTGCCTCATCCTCGGCCCCTGCATCCCTCCCCCATCCGTACTGCTCTTCCGACACACTGCCTCATCCTCGGCCCCCGCATCCCCCCCCCCCCCCCATCCGCACCGCTCTTCCGGCACACCGCCTCATCCCCGGCCTCGTGGCCCCCATGCGTACCGTTCTCCTGTAAGAGCGCCTAGCATACGTCTCGCACAGAGGTCCTTGGGCGGGGACGGGCAGGGAAATTGGACCTTCAGATCCGTCTGGTTCTGCCCCGCCGGTACCCGCTCCCCTTCATCCCGCATCACTGAAAGTTTCATGATTGCCGAGAGGGCTCTAATCCAAACGACCAAACCGGGCGAAGCCGCCTGCCGGCGCGGCTCGGTAGCGGACGCCTCCCGTGACGACCGCAGTCCTGCCCCGGATCTCATATCTCCCTCATGCCACAGCTCCCAAATGGACACCACTGACCGCAGTGGCTCTAATCGCAACCAACCCAAACCAGTTTTCGTACCGCTGGCTGTGGCATACCTTTCACGTGACGGCAGGAATAGCCCGTGGTTAGTGTAATGCAACGGACGCCGCGCCGCCATGACGTGAGCCCTGCTCCCCTGGCACGGCGCTGCGGCCGGCTGGACACGAGATTTTAATCCCGAGAGTATTATACGGTCTTACAGGGAGGGTCACATGCAAGTTGAGGCAGAACCGAGAGCATTTTTGTACACGTAACGAAGCAACTACTTGAGCGACATTAGCCCTATCCCAGATTCTGTAGACGCATTGTACTTCATTAATACTACCCACTACCTTTACCTGGAAAACGTTCAGTTTTCGTCGCCAGTCCACTGACGAGCAGGATCATCCTGCCACGGCGACGGAGCACGCTTGCATCAGCCAAGAAATGACCGCAGACCGCGGCGGGACAGCTCCACCGGGCGGACGTCACACCAACCTCTCCGCCTTCGGTCGGCGGTCTCGCACCCGCCGCCGCTCAAACGACGCCAACAAACAATTTTGATATATTTGACTGAAACACAACAAGGTCTGGGCCGAATCGGCCGCCAGTCTGTACATTGCATACGACGCCGCGGCCGCCGCCGCGCACACGCGTTAAATAATGAGTAAATTACGTACTTTCCCCGGCGGAGCTTCCGCCGAGCGTCGGCCGCCCCTTCCGACGCTGCGCACGCCGCGGCCGTCCATATCACACTGAAGTCACAGCACAGGGGGGCGCCCGCGCGCGGCGGGCCGCCGGGCCTCGCTACGAGTTGGACGAGGTGCTGACCACACCGGCGCCGCCAGAGTTGTTGGAGTTGCCGGCCGCCGTCTGCACGCTCGAGGCCGTCTGCGAGGGGGTGGAGGTGGAGGAGGCGGCAGCGGCCGCGGCAGCAGCGGCCACGCCGCCGCCGCCGCTCTGTCGCTTGCCGGCCGCCGGCTGCAGGTACGGGTGTTCGGCGAGCGAACGCACGCAGTACCGCTCCTCCTTGCGGTACTGCAGGCAGCAGCGGATGAACGCCTGCCGAGGAGGGCGCCACTGTCAGACCCGCCGGGCGCGCGGTGCGGCAGGGGGGGGGGGGAGGGGGGGACACGGCGGCGGTGCGGGTGCAGGCATGATCCCTGGCGAGTCGCAGGGAGGCTGGAGCGGGGGGGGGGGACGACGACGACACGGCGGCGGTGCGGGTGCAGACATGATCCCTGGCGAGACGCAGGGAGACGGGAGCGGTGCACGGGGGACGACACGGCAGCGGTACGGGTGCAGACATGATCCGCGGGTCACGCCCTCACGAGCCGCGGCGAGGCAACAGCGGAGAGCCGCCACCACAGCGGGAATACAACCCCAACAGAGCGCCTGCCGACCGGGGACACCCATTACCAGGTGCGTGCGGCACTTGTGATGGCGAGCCTAAGAAGAGCCACCGCCAGGGCGCGGGGGCGGCACAGCGCGGGCATACCAGACGGACGCTGCCCAGAGCACCCGGCCGCAGCACGCACCTTGGCTTCCGAGTTCACGGTGGGTTTGTTGGGGAAGTGCACGTCCTTGGCCTTCAGAATGATGTTCTCCTCTAGGATGGTTGCCTGAGATTGGTTGTGGCCGAACGGCTGAAAGGCACGCATCGGGTCAGTGGCATGCAAAGGTTCGCCTGAGACGCCCCAAGGCCCGACCGAAGCCTGCTGCATGCATCCGGCCAGCGTCAAGTGAGCGTAAACACAGCGGACTTTCCCACCTCAGGCAACCAGAAGACCTTGGGCGCCTATCTCTCCATGTCAGAACTGCGACCACGGACAATGCCGGACGCTTTGAGCACTTCAACACCATATTTGCACGATTTCTCGGCCTTGTTTTAACCCATTACTCCACCTGGCACGTCCAAGGCCGATTATCACCAGCCACAGAGCTCACAACACCCTTCTTGCCCTTTTTATGAGCTGTCCCACTCCGCTGAGAGGTAATGTCCTTTTTCAGAGCTCACAGCGTCCTCTTACTACCCCGGACGTTCACCCCGGCTGCATGCCGGGCTCCGGCGGGCCGACAGCCGTGTTGTACCCGCTTCCCGGCACCCGCCGCCAATCGCCTTAACTTCCCGCCGCAGGCGTCTGCCGCGCGTGCCGAACATTGTGATATCATGCCGGAAATCACGGGCCCTGCCAGCCAGCTACAGCCGCGCGGGGCCGGGTATACCCCGCGACGGCGCCATGGGCAAGCCCCACGGTGGCCGCGGAGAACGCCGGCGCGGAAGCTCACCTTCTTGCCGTACAGACACTGGTAGAAGATGATGCCCACGCTCCAGACGTCCACCTTGCTGGAGATCTTGGGCGGGTTCTTGCCGACGACGAAACACTCGGGCGGCAGGTACCTGCGGACGGCACCGCACCGTCAGAGAGGCGGGGCAGGGGGCGGGAGCGAGAGGCGCCAGAGCGACGCCCGACTGTCAGAGGTGGCCACACCGCCGGCTGGTGATAAGTAGCGCCCAAGGACGCACAGCACGGCTCATGATACACAGAGGCCACCTCTCAAACAAGGGAGCCAGTGGGCAGGAGTGTCCGACAGGAGTACCCAGCCGGAGGAGTCCACCGACAGGAGTGTCCGACAGGAGTGCCCAGCCGGAGGAGTCCATCGGCAGGAGTGTCCGACAGGAGTGCCCAGCCGGAGGAGTCCATCGGCAGGAGTGTCCAACAGGAGTGCCCAGCCGGAGGAGTCCACCGACATGAGTGTCCGACAGGAGTGCCCAGCCGGAGGAGTCCACCGACAGGAGTGTCCGACCACCGGGCCGTGGGTTACAGTGGAGTTCACAACCGCAGCTAGCGACACGGCGCGACCCCGCCGCCGCGCGCTGGCCGGAGGGTCCCCGGTACATCGCCAGGGTGAGTCACGGCATGCGCTGACACATCGGTGGCAGACCAGGACAGCGCGGCGCTGGGATGCAGAGCTGAGGTCTTCGCCATCAGGGCACAGCGCCACGCACGAGACCGCGGTAGCATAAACCAACCGACATGGAGCCCACGGCACCCCGCCACGGTCTGTGGGCGCCATGCCAGGAGGGCCCGGCGCCATGTCACCAGGCTGGGCCCCACGTCAGAGCCTGGAGGGCCATGTCGCGGGGCCTTGGTGCGCCATGTCGCCGGGCACGGCGCCATGCCAGAGGGTCCAGCCGTGCCGGTACGTACCAGTAGGTGCCGGCGCCCTGCGAGGTCAGGTCCATGCCGTGCTCGGGGTTGTAGTTGTCGTCGTCCATCACCTTGCTGAGCCCGAAGTCGGTGATCTTCACCTCGCCCAGAACGTCGCCGTCCACCAGCAGAATGTTACCTGCGGTCACAGGTCCAGGTCACGCTTGGAGGCAAGGACACAAGATGTGTCAAGGACGAATACCACGCTGAGGAATGGGCCAACGTCACGTCTAGTGCGATGCAACCAAGGAAATTGGTCGGCACCACGTCCCACAAGGAATGACGCAAAAGTCACGGTAATGCCGACGTTTGGCGAATGCTACAGCACCGGACCCGGAAGGACATCTGACCCACAAACTAGCGGTCTAATGCCTCGGAAACTAAACATAGACTTACACCGTGCTTACACATCGAGCCAACCACAAATCCCGACTCAGAACAAACACCTATTGGCGGGCGGCAATAGGCCGTAACGCCGCGTCCCAAGCCAGCGGTGACTCGGTGACGCCACATCCGGGAGCGTGACAAGTGACGCCGTCACGCGCCCGTCACCCCGCCCTTCGCCGAGCAAATCGACGCTTATCACCCCCGCCGTCGGTGCCGACAGGGCTACAGTGGCGGCCGCCGACCGGCCTCCGTCACCGGTCGGCGCCCCCCGCTGTCGGCCTTCGTCGGCGCTCGCCGCCCGCTCCGCCACTAGCGTTACTCCGGCGCGGCCGTGACGGGCGAGGGGTGACGGTTCCCCGCGGCGGTCGCCCGGCGGCGCGCCGCCACGCTCACCGGGCTTCAGGTCGTAGTGGATGACCGGCGGGTGGATGCTGTTGAGGTACTTGAGCGCCGACACCACCTGCATGATGATGGAGCGCGCCTCCCGCTCGCCGATCACCTTGTGCTGCCGGGCAGGGGGAGGGGGAGGGGGAGGGGGCGTCAGGCGACGGCGGACAGCTGGCGTCCACACCTGTACACCTCGCTCTCGGACTGCCCGGCCACGGGGCGGAGACGGTCCGGGAGCGAACGGAACGCGTCGACACCCGCTCCCACACCCTCCCGCCGCGCCAGGTCACCGGGCAGAACTCGTGTCGGGTTAGGGGACTTGCCGGCGCCCGCCGCCGAGCAGAGCTCGTGTCGGGTCAGGGGACTTGCCGGCGCCCGCCGCCGAGCAGAGCTCGTGTCGGGTCAGGGGACTTGCCGGCGCCCGCCGCCGAGCAGAGCTCGTGTCGGGTCAGGGGACCTGCCGGCGCCCGCCGCCGAGCAGAGCTCGTGTCGGGTCAGGGGACCTGCCGGCGCCCGCCGCCGAGCAGAGCTCGTGTCGGGTCAGGGGACCTGCCGGCGCCCGCCGCCGAGCAGAGCTCGTGTCGGGTCCGGGGACCTGCCGGCGCTCGCCGCAGAGCGGAGCTCGTGTCGGGTCCGGGGACCTGCCGGCGCCCGCCGCCCGCCCGCAGCCGGCGCCCCCGTCCGGCCACGCCGGCTGCCTCACCTGCTTCAGGTAGAAGTCGAGATCGTGGCCCGAGCAGTACTCCATGACCGTGCAGAACGAGTTGGAGTCGATCTCAAAAGCGTCGTAGTGCTCCACCACCCGCGGGTGATTCAGCGTCCGGTGAATGTTGTACTCCCGAAGCGCGTGCTTGATGTAGTTGGCTTTCTTGTCGTCCTTCCAGTCCTTGTTCAGCTGGTGCACCTTACACGCCACGTACCGCTGCTTCTTGAGGTCGAACGCCTGGGGGGAGGGGGGACGCGCCGTCAGCACTGTGACGTCATCTGGTGAGCTCCCAGGGGCTTCGACTACGTCTTACCCCCACAGTTAACACCGCCTTGTTCACAGGCTTTTCCCAATGCAGGCGACGCGAAAGCTAACGATGGAAAGTCTGCTGGCCCGATTCCAAGGCCGATTCTTCACGATGCAAAAAATGAGCACCTGCCCCGGCGAAGCTCACCCTCCACACTTCACACGTCCCCGAGATGCCTTCGGCAGCGTCGTGACATTCTGTCGACACACGGCGCAGCGCCCCAAACTTGCCGAGTTAAATCCCACATGCCACACAGCCGTCGCAAAAATCTGCCGTTTTTAGGCGACACGACGCATGTAGCGCAACAACTCCAGCTTCCATACAAACACGGCCGACATTTCGCGCTACCACATCGCCGAACCACAGCTGCAGTCGTGAGTCACGGCCCCGAACAAACCGACCAGCCCGCCAGCCGGGCCAGCGGACCGCGACCCCAACACAGCGGGCGGCTAGCGTCGGCTCGGCTCGGCTCGGCGACCCCCCCACTCTCCTCCCCCGCCCCCGCCACGCACCTTGTGCACCTCGGAGAAGCCGCCCTTGCCCAGCAGCTGGATGAAGAGGTAGCGGTCGTGCAGCACCACGTGGTTGTTGAAGCGCGACTGGTCCTCGTTGTGGATGCGCTTCAGCTCGCGGATGTGCAGGTTGCGCTCACGCTCCAGCTTCTCCATCTCCAGCGTCAGGTCCGTGTCCTCCTTCTTGAGCGAGGCCTGCCGCAGCTGGCGGCAAAGGCGAACGACGCCGGTCACTTGATGATTCGGGCTTTAGAGCGCACCGACTACCCCGACTACACAGACGACGTGGGGAGCGACGACGGGCGCCGCAGCGTGTGTGCCGCGTGCGGCGGTCACTCGTTTGAACGTGCGCTTTGGAAACGTGGTCTGTTGGGTTGTGTGGGCAACGCTATACAACGCTCGTCGGAGCTAAGCAGACGGCGTGGACGAGGAGACAGGAGATCGCAGGCAATGCCGGCAACTACAGGACTGCGGTCCACAACTCTCTCGCTCGTCGATTCAGACGGCTCCCTCCCAGCCCAACTTCTCCCCTGAAGCGAGCCACGCTGACGACTAGCGCCGCTCACCAGCCGTCACCAGCACAGCGGCCGGGGTCGGCGGGCGCCGCTGGGCAGCCCATCTTCGACACGGCGGCAGGCGGCCCGTCACCGCAGGCGAGGCGACATCTGCCGCCGGCGCGGAAAACGGTGCGCCGCCGGGCCGTCGGCGCGCGCGCCGGCCGACCTTCGACCTCGGTCGGACCCCGGTCACACGGCCCGCCGTGACCCACATGCAGCCGCTGCGGGCCCCATTCGGCACGCTCTGAAGTCGGGGCGGCGCCGTGACGTCACGCAATCCGATTAGCGGCGGCGCGACTTCGGGCACGGTGCGGACGGACGGCGAGCAAACGGCACGGCCAGGGGCGTGCACAGGACCTGCCGGCTGACAGATCGCGCCGACGACGGCGGACGACAGCCATGGGCAGGGGCGTGCACAGGGCGCGTTGATGCGAACGGACGTAACAGAAGTTCCGGTATCTGGTCTTCAAGGAGCTCTATCTTGGTGCTCGGCCCACGCCAGCACCATTCCTGCACAAATCTGACGGCATATCGCAGCTGAGTGGGCAACCCGGACGTGAATGCAGTGCTTGCTGTCCGCTCAAGCAGTCCGGCACAGCTGCGCGATGGCCCAGCGAGCGACGTATCCATAACAACGCCGCACCGGGCCGTTACCATGGCGACACCACGCCCGGCGCAAGTGTGCCGGGCGACTATCATCGTCGTGAGCGCCGGACCGACCGTGATCCGGCCGTGTGGCGCCGGTTCACGGCGTCTGGACACGGCTTTCCGGCGGGCGGCTTTCTCCGCGCGCGGCGTCGGCGGCGCCACGGCCGGCCCTGCCCGAGCGTGGCGCGAGCCCGGCGCCGCCCTCAGCGCCGGGCCCTCACGCGGCCGGGCCGTCAGTGCTGGCGCCGAGCCGGCCGCGGCCCGGCCGCGTCCGGCAGCCGCCAGCACGCCGCCGGCAGCCAGCCGTCTCCGGAGCTGGCACCACGCGGCCCTATTGATCGGCGCTCGGCTGCGCTCAACATTACCCCGACGCCGGCCCAACACCGCCCACCGGCCTGACGTGGCGACGGAGCCGCCAGGGGGGGGGGGGGGGGATGGGAGCGACGCGCCGCCCGGCCACCGTGCAGCGTCCCGGGCGGCGCCGCGGCCGACTCCCAGCCCCTGGCGGCCGTCCCGGGCAGCGCGGCGCTCGTCGTCCGTGGCGTCCGTTGTCCGTCCGACCACTCGTGTCGTCTTTAAGGGGGGAGCCGGCCCTGTCGCGCGGCACCGTCCTCACAACAAGCAAGCAGGGATGTTTCCTGCGAGAGGGGACGTCCTCATGACCGCGGTCCGTCCTCACGAGCGAGGACCGTCCTCACGACCGGGGTCCGTCCTCATGAGCGGGGATAGTCCTCACGGAGAGCGGGGACAATCCTTGCAGCGAACAGGGACGGAATCTTACGCAGGGAACGGCGACGCGCCGGCCGAACCGCGGCGGCGGCGGCGGCGGCGGGCCGACCTGGCCGTGAGCCAGCGCTTCGCCGGCCGACGCCGGCCGCCGGTGGGCACCTTGACCCGTTAACACCGTCCGGGTGCATCGAGTGCCGCCGGCCCGGCTGCCCGGCCGCCCGACTCCGGGCCGGCGACGGCACAGGCGCCGCGCTAATTGCAGCCCCGGTCCAGGGACGCCGCCAGCGCTGGCACATGCTGAGTGACGGAGCCTCGACACCGCTCCGTCCCGCGGCCCAGGTCTTCACACGGCAGCCTCGCACGCCGGCCGTGACACTGGGCCGCCAGGTAATCCGTTCGGCGGACTCGAGCCCCCGCTGATCACTTGGTATGGTAAGCGTGCTGCCACACTGCAGTATTCGGGCCCAGCTTTGCCCGACGTCTATCCCGCCCAGTCGCCGGCCGCCCCAGCGCTACCGACACCTCGCTGTGCGCATTACGCCCTCAGAATCGATGCACCCAAAGGACCGCCAACACCCCGCGCCTTGATGGACGATATGTGAGCGAAGATGTACCTTAAAACACCAAACACTATCATCAGCCTAGGTGTTTATGCTGATGTCATCAGCCTAGGCACAACTCTAGTGACCCCTCTCTGTGTGACACATGACGCGCCCAAAGCAACCACTGACAATGCCGTCTGATAGGCTGTTTTGCTGCGCGTTACGCTGTTGCGGCCACCAGCATCCCCACGTCTGCCCCGAGGCCCGCAGCCGGGGTCCTATCCCGGGCTCCGATGCGTTAAGCACCGCCTACGACCATCACTAAATCACCAAACACGCCCACGCCCCCACCGTGATGGGCACCGCACAATCTTCCACACGTGCCATAAATCACCGCCTGCCGCCGCGACAGCTCGCGCCTGGCTGGGCCCGAGCCGACACTCGACGCGCCCTCCCAGCACCGCCACCGCCGACGCGGAGGGCGCGGCGCCGCCCACCCCGCGTCACGCGCCCTCTAGCACCGCCACCGCCGGAGCGGAGGGCGCGGCGCCACCCACCCCCGCGTCACGCGCCCTCCCAGCACCGCCACCGCCGGAGCGGAGGGCGCGGCGCCACCCACCCCGCGACACGCGCCCTCCCAGCACCGCCACAGCACCGCCACCGCCACCGCCGACGCGGAGGGCGCCGCGCCACCCACCCCGCGTCACGCGCCCTCCAGCACCGCCACCGCCGGAGCGGAGGGCACGGTGCCACCCAACCCGCGTCACGCGCCCGCAGCGCCCCAGCACCGGCCGGCGTACCTTGATGATTTCGTCCGCCTCGTAATACTCCTGGCCGCTGAGACGGCCGGGGTCCTCGGGCCGCACGAACTCGCCGCCGTTCTGCTGGGCCGTGCCGGCGCCGCCGCCGCGCTTCCGCGCGCTCTCGGCGCTCGTCGGCTTCCGCTTGGCCAGCAGCTTCTTCTGGCGGTCGAGCTCCTCCCGGGAGGCGGACAGGTCCTCCATCCTCCTGCGGCGACGGCGGCGTCAGACCCGCACCGGGAGCGCGGCGAGGACACGCGCAGCGCGGTGGGGACATGCGCAGCGCGGCGGGGACGTGCGCAGCGCGGCAGGGACGCGCGGTTCAGGTCGGTCGCTGGATTGGTAGGGACGGCGGCGACTCAGGCCATTTGAGGAGAGTGCTTCATTTTACAGCGCCAATGCGGAGGGGGGGGGGGGGGGGGGTAGCGGCGAAACACCAGGCTACCTTGGCTGTGAGGGATATGGAGACGGGCGTAGAAGAAGGCGGGAGGTGAGCATTGCACAGCGCGGAAAAGGACAGAAATGTAGCGGTCGGGGACGAGGGCGACGCGGTACGAATAGTGCCACATAGGTGACATGGTACGGACAATATAGCGGGGAGACACCGGCACGGACCGTGTGAGATCGATGATGAAGTCAGTACGGGGATGTGCTTCAGTATGTTGGCTACAGGCTGGGTTGTGAATCAGATGATGATAACGCATGCATCGTGCAGAGTGGGCGGCAGATTACCACAGGCCATCATAGAACGAGGAAGCGAATGCCATTCTGAATGTAGCGATATAGCCACATCGCTCGCCTATTATCACTGGGGCCTGGCCGGCCTGAGGGGCATTGACGCCCAAAGACGAAACATGACGAAACAAGTCGCGCGAAACCGGCAACTGAGCAACATATTTGCTCCACGCTGCTGTAACAATCTCACCCAGCCTTCACAGCAATGTCGCATCACAAGCACCACCACCACGCCTCTCGAATCGGATACGTCACCGCCCCCCGCTTCAGGAAGCTGGCGCACAGCCACTCCGTCTACGACACACTCTTCCACCGCGTCTGTGGCGGCCTCCACGCCGGCGCCTGGCACCGGCGCGCCGCAGCAAGCCTCGCACGTGCCCAGCGGCCGCCACGCCGCGACCGGCCACTCACTTGGTCAGCTCCTGGAATGCGTAGCCGTCCGTCCAGTTCTCCTGGAAGCTGGCCCCAACCCGCTGCGTCACAAACTGGCCCAGTCGCAGCCGGTTCTGCATGCACTTCTGGCGGCACTCCTTCTTCTCGATTTTGCTCTTTTCGATGAGCAGTTTTTTCACCATGTCCACACACTTGTCCAGATTGGACTTGTTCTGTTCGACCAGCTTCTGCTGGGCATTCAGCTGACGCCGGAGCTCCTCGTTCGTCTGCGGCAGGGGACGGCCGGTTAACGAGGTGTTAGCGGGCGCTTAAAGGGCGGTTAGCACAGGGCACTCGGCGTGAGCGAAGAGCGGTTGAGGAGTTAAGGTCGTTAACGCCATCTTAACGAGCTACTCCTACGCATTATTTGGCGGCGGGTGAGGCGCGTCACCACGCGGCTGCCGCACGCCTACCAGGCACACCTCACGGGCCACGACAGCCATTCTCTAGCGTGGACACGGATCCCGACAGGGATATCGTCAGACAACGCTGATCACCAGACGTCACCAGAAGGGCACGACAGTCAGGCGCTCGGGAGGAGGGATGGGAGGGGGGGGGGGGGCATGGCCGGCGGCAGACGCCAGAGAGCAAGCAGGCGTGACAGACATGACAGGCCCGCGGCTCTGCCGGCCGGTCCAGCTGACGCCGCGTCGACAGACCCGGGCCCGAACACATGACGGGCCTGCGGGTCTGCCGGCCGGTCCAGCTGACGCCGCGTCGACAGACCCGGGCCCGAACACATGACGGGCCTGCGGGTCTGCCGGCCGGTCCAGCTGACGCCGCGCCGACAGACCCAGCCCTGACCCGGCCGGCCTCCCGGCGGCAGACGGCGCCAGCAGCGCCACCCAGGACGCACGCTCACAGCCGAGGACGGGGCGTCCCTCGTCTGTGCAGGTCGGAGCCGAGCTCTAGGCAGCGCTTGGGTGTCTGCTGCGCCCTGACTGGCCTGGAGCGGCGACTGACTCACAGCCGGTCTTCCTAGACCCCGTCCGAACCCGACGGCTAGCGTGCAAGGGTCAGGGGCCAGCGGTCCGGCAGCGGGCGCAACGACCCATCTTTTGAAATGACCGGCGGCGGGCGCGGCCTCTCCAACATACGCAAACCGTAAATAACATGAGAGCCCCGCCTGCACTCCTGACAGCTCCGCTGATTAACAGCGCATGGAACATCCTGTCGCGTCAGGTCTGTGGCTGAACAGCTATGACGTCACCACTGGCGTGACGCACTGGACCGTCGTCATGACAACGCCCCAACCGCCTGGCGCGCCGGGACGATTCAAAAGAGCCGCCCGAAGACCGACCGGCGGCGTCTGTGTCCGTGTCTGTGCCTGTCAGTGGCGACTGTGGGCGTCTGGTGGCTTCATGCAAGGCAAAACGATTAGCTCGCTCGCGTCGCGTTTTATGACGACAGTGCACGCTTTTATGATGCATGCGACCGATGGGACGGGCTTGATGCAGTCAAATGGAAACCGCTAGCACATGCCGGTCGAAGTACCTTCGCCATTCAAGGAAATTCTCGCGCAATGAGAAGAACAGTGTGTTGGAGAGCCCTGATGGCAAGGCCGAGGGAGTGCACCGCAGTTTCTAAACAGCCGCCTTCGTAGAACCTGGACCTGTCAAGCTCGATTTGCGTTATGGTTGTGCCGCCAGCCCTGTGGTTGTCCAGATCCACGCCATTGCTTGCGTCATTGTGATATGCTGCAATGACTGGGTCGGGCGGCTGCACCGCTGCCGGTTGGCTGGGCGCAGCGCCGGTCGACGTTACCCTCATAGAGCATCAGCGACACCGAACTACGTTATCAGCAGCGCATCAGAAGTAGCTTGCCATCTTACAAGCACACTCGGCTCACAACCCGGCTCGAGCACTGCCATGATGCCCTTGTGGTCGGGCAGAGACGGTGCGAAGAGCGCGCTTCGAAACATCGCGAGACCAAAACGGAACCGTAGCAGCACTCAGACCACTCCTGCACCGAGCGTTTTTAGCAGAATATGCCGCTGCAGCACCGCAGTGGGTCGTGACATCCAACCCACCTACCATTCACCGCTGGCAAAGAGCCTCGCACGACCGACAACTCCACGGGACCACCACTTTAGTCGGACCGGGCACGCCGCGCCACGCGAGCTCAAGCCCACCACACAACCCGGTGGGCTTCAGCCCTTCCCCCACCTTCACCACGCCGCGCCACACGAGCTCAAGCCCACACCACCCGGCGGGCTTCAGTACCTCCGCAACCTCACCAAGCCGCGCCACGTGAGCTCAGGCCAACCACATCACCCGGCGGGCTTCAGTACATCCCCACCCTCACCGCGCCGCGCCACGCGAGCTCAAGCCCACGACGCCACCCGGCGGGCTTCAGCCCCTCCCCCACCCTCACAGTTGACGAGCGATACTCCGCCGTTATCGACCACGGTTAGCTGGTGTTGTTCGCCTTTCAACACCGGGCAGCGTCCAGCCCGCGCCGGCTGCAGCCACTCACCCGACCCATCTCCTCTATCTTGTCGCGCCGCGCCTCGTCGTTGGACGCCGCCTGGCTCTCCAGCTCCCGAAAGTCCACGCCAGTCATCGTCGTTTGTACTAGCTTGCTGGTGGCGGGCGCCGTGACAGCGGCGGTGACGGCGGCCACGGCGGCGGTGCTGGCGGCCGTGGCCAGCGCCGCGGCCGGCGAGGGCGCGCGGGTCGGCACGCCGGCGTGCGGAGCCGGCGCCGGCGCCACCCCGGTGGGTCGCACGAACGGCGACGGCGAGCCGTCCGCCAGGCAGGGCGGCAGCGGCCCGTGTGGGCTGGCCGGGTACTGCGGCGGAGGGTGGCAGTGTCAGCGGACAGCCTGCGGAACACGGGCGGCAGGGGGCTGGCCGGGTACTGCGGCGGAGGGCGGCAGTGTCAGCGGACGGCCTGCGGGACACGGGCGGCAGGGGGCTGGCCGGGTACTGCGGCGGAGGGTGGCAGTGTCAGCGGACGGCCTGCGGGGGGCTGGCCGGGTACTGCGGCGGAGGGCGGCAGTGTCAGCGGACAGCCTGCGGGACACGGGCGGCAGGGGGCTGGCCGGGTACTGCGGCGGAGGGCGGCAGTGTCAGCGGACGGCCTGCGGGACACGGGCGGCAGGGGGCTGGCCGGGTACTGCGGCGGAGGGTGGCAGTGTCAGCGGACGGCCTGCGGGGGGCTGGCCGGGTACTGCGGCGGAGGGTGGCAGTGTCAGCGGACGGCCTGCGGGGGGCTGGCCGGGTACTGCGGCGGAGGGTGGCAGTGTCAGCGGACGGCCTGCGGGGGGCTGGCCGGGTACTGCGGCGGAGGGCGGCAGACATCGTGTGGCCTATTTATCAGTAAAACGCTCAATCGACATAGAACGAGCAACGAAGGCAATGCACATCGCCACATGCCATAGCACTACGAATACTTCACGTCGTGCGAATAGCAGCCCGGGAGGATCGAGGATCAATCATGCGCGAATCCATGAGAAAACGTCACGCGTCATCCGACGACATAAATCTTAAACAAACAGAAAACCAAGCACCCAGCGCGGCGTAAACGCCGCTGATGCGAGACCAAGACCAGTCACGGCGTGCATCCACCAACTACACGGAGACGGCGACGCGGCCGGCGCAACATCTGCTGGGACTACGGCTCGCTCCGGCCGGGAGAGGCGGGCTCGGCTCGCTACACCAGCCCGGACAGACCGGTAACGGAGGAAGGCCGCCGGCGGCCGCGACGGCCCCGAGGTCAGCCCAGGTAAGGCCAGGCCACAACTCCGCCACCCGGGGTGCGCCGATGCCACAACTACCCAACTACGATGGCCGGCCCGTGCGGGGGCCAAAACGGCCCGAACCCCGAGGCCCGAGGCCCGGGCCCCGGGCCCGAGCCCGGGCCCGAGCCCGAGCCCGAGCCCGAGCCCGAGCCCGAGCCCGAGCCCGAGCCCGAGCCCGAGCCCGAGCCCGAGCCCGAGCCCGAGCCCCGGCCCGCGCCCGTCGCCGGGCGGGAGAGAGCGTGCTCCGCTCGACAGGGCGGCGGCATGCCGAGAAGGTCGGAGGACGCCTCACCGCCAGGAGCCGCGACGCCGCCGGCTGGTGCGCCCCGACGCTACGCACCGGGAGGGACGGCGCGGCGCGCACCGGCGCCGGGCCCACGGCCGGGCCGCGGAAGTACTCGTTGATCAGCTTGTTGTTCTTGCTGTCGGCGCGCTTGGGGCCGCTGGCACCGCCGTCGTCCGCGGCCGTGTTTTTTCGCTTGCGTTTGGGCGTGCGGGCCTGCGGCGGCGGCGCCGGCGGCACGCCCTTGTCCGGCGAGTTGGCCTCCTCCTTGTCGCTGACCGAGCCTGCAACGCCACCGTCGACATCACAGTCGGCACCATGGTGTCTCACATCTGCAGTGCCGCGATCAAAGCCTTCGCTGCCATCTCCCTCATGATCAATGTCATCATGTTCATCAGTATAACCTGCTCGCCCATCCGTATCACCGCTCAGATTTCACGGGGGCAGTAAGCCTTCTCAAGAACGCCAACATCATCCATATCCGACTAGAGCATCCATACCCGACCGCGCTGGACGCGCTCTGTAACGCCGGATTACGGCGATCACAAACGGCTCCACGCAAGACGCAGAATCATTCATTCATCATCAGAATCATCATTCATGTCAATGCATCTGAAAGGTCATTCGCATACTCGTGCCAGGCCTTGTGCGCGGCTGGTAGGCGAAATAACATAGCGTGAGGAGCAACCGAGCACAACATGACCCGTCACACTTATAACCCGCACAGGATACGACTCAATACTCAACGGGATGCTTCTAAACACGGCGGGTCGTGAGCAGATCAGACCGGTACGGCTTAACACGCCTTGGACCGCTGATTGCACACATATCTGGCCGCACACCCAGCATCACCCACAAACTTGCAAGCCTTTCCAAGCCCCGTGGTGGCGATGATTTGACCGCAATCTCGTCAATAATCGCGCCCAACAACCCTTCAGATGGCCCTCCGGAGCCCGTTTATCCGTCCCAGAGTCAGGGAGCGCGCGGCGCGGGCTTGCGCCACTCACCGGTGCTCAGGTTCGAGCCGTCGTTGCCTTGTACGTTGCTGAACGGCCCGAGCGGCGGCGGCGGCGGGCCCACCTGCGGACACAGCGACCGGCCGTCAGTGACGTCAGTGACGCGACGTCCGCGCCGCCATCCGGTGACGCGGCTGCGGCCGGCGGCGCGGCGGCGCTACCGTCAGGACGGGCACTGCGGCCCGGCAGAGAAGCGACCGGCGACCGCGGCAGGCGGGGCCGGCGGCGCGGCGGCGCTACCGTCAGGACGGGCACTGCGGCCCGGCAGAGAAGCGACCAGCGACCGCGGCAGCCGGGGCCGGCGGCGCGGCGGCGCTACCGTCAGGACGGACGCCTGCGGCCCGGCAGAGACGCGACTGGCAACCGCGGCAGCTGCGGCCGGGGACGCGGCGGCGCGGCGGCGCAGCGGCGCCCCCTGGCGGACCTGCAGGAGCTCGCTCCGGCCGGCAGGCCGACAGGCGGCCCGGTACCACAGGCAGGCGGGCCGGGCACCACAGGCAGGCGGGCCGGGCACCACCGGCAGGCGGGCCGGGCACCACAGGCAGGCGGGCCGGGCACCACCGGCAGGCGGGCCGGGCACCACAGGCAGGCGGGCCGGGCACCACAGGCAGGCGGGCCGGGCACCACAGGCAGGCAGCCGGCGGGCGGTGCGGTCCGCTGCCGCGCCCTCGGTCCAGCTCCGGCATGTCGGGCGGGAGGCCGGAGACGGGTGTGAAGCCGCCGCCTCCGCAGCAGCGTCGGACGCGCCAGATGCCGCTCACTGCTCTTCACGCGTCGCGCGCCGTGTTTACACAGAAGCGCCGGCAGTTCCACGACGACCCGAATAAGCCGCGCTCGCCTGCGGTGAGCCGAACACGCAGACGGCAGAACCGCCTATGATACCCCGCAACACCAGCCGCGCGACTACGGCGGCCGACAGCACCGCGTGGCATGCCGCCCACGCTGCCTGCAGCCCCGCGCTGCGAGGCAGCCGCCACGCGTGCGGCAGACAAGCTCCGCGGCTCCAGCTCGCGCTGCGGTGACGTCACGGGGCGACCCCCGCCAGACCCAGCCCCGCAGCGCGGCGAGCCCGACACGGCCGCGGCGCCGGCGCCCGGGCCGGCCGGCACCTGACCGCAGAGCCGGCAGCCGCCAGCGCCGCGTATCGCCACACGGCAGGGTCCGGGCCGCTCGGTCCACCGTCGGCTAGCCGGTGCTCGGTCCACCGTCAGCTAGCCGGCGCTCGGTCCACCGCCAGCTAGCCGGCGCTCGGTCCACCGCCAGCTATCCGGCGCTCCGTCCACCGTCAGCTAGCCGGTGCCCGGTCCACCGTCAGCTATCCGAGGCCGGTGGCAAAATGGCCGCGCACTCACCCGGTTGCCGACGAAGCGGGCTTCGAGCAGCTCGGCTTTCCGGCGGTCCATCGCCTGCAGGGAGTCCATTTTGGCCGCGCTCACGCCACCTGTGGACAGACGTTGCCGGCATGAGCGACCAGTGCGCATGCGCACCCGACCGGCGGGCTCGCGTCAGGCCGGCCGGGCGCCGATCCGCACTCGCACACGCCGCCGCCAAACATGGCCTCCGCCGACACATGACGTCAGCGTGGACACGGGCGGCGGCGGCGGCGGCGGCGGCGGACACGGCGCATCCCGGCTCGGTGAGCGACAATTACCGCCGGCGCCGATCGATGGCGCGGCCTCTCTGGGCGGACGGCGGCGCCGGCCGACGGCCGGGCGGGCCGCATGCAGGCGCCCCGGCCAACGGGCTGGCCGGACCACAACTCACCACACAGGCGTCTTGCACAACCCGGACGGGCGAAGCCGCCGAGTGTGCGGCTCCGGACTGCACACACCGCGGACCCGGCACACTGACACAAACATACACAAACCGTCCGCGACATACACAGACTCACAACACACCCGCCGGCCCACAACGCATCCCCTCGACCAACAACCCACCCAGACACGGCCGGCGGCCGCGTCCCCGTTGCGGAGCCTGCGCCCAATGGCAGCGGCGGCCGGCAGCGGGCGCCACACATCGTCCCAGCGGCCACGCGCCCAGCAAACCCCTCGGCACACAGCAGCCCAGTCCAGCTGCGCGGGGCGGCGGCGCGCCGGCCGCCATATTTAGCCGTCCGTCACAACACAACTGCGTCTCGCCCGGCACCGTGACGTCACGTGGGCCGGGGCGGCCCGGTCGCCTCCCAGCGCACCGTTCGCTGGCGGGCGGCGCGGCGCCGGCGGCGGGCCGCGCGGAGCAGCGGCGGCGCTCTGTCGTCACGGCGCCGCCGCCGCCGCCCGCGGCCGCCGCCGCGGCGCCCGTCCCGACACGGGTCGCACGGCGCGGGGAGCGAAGCCGGTCCGGGCGCGGCAGCCGTGTCTCCCGGACCCAGGTGCGACCGGCGACAGGCACGTCACCGGGCGGCACGGCGTCGGATCTCCGCCGCAGAGGACGCCCACACGGACTCGATGTCACCCATAGAGAGCTCGCAGGCGCGTCCCGTTGGCGCACTCACTAGCCGTGGGACGCTCTGTGCCGGCGGCGCTCCAGGTGACGCCGGCAGGCTGCACCCACCATTGGCTGACGCCTCCGCCCTCCCTGGTCCGCTGTCGTAGCGCCGTCAGTGCCGACGCGTCCGACGGAGCGCTGCTGCTCACAGCGGCGGCGCCGGTATCTAGCCGGGGCCGCGGATCCCGCCACGATAACGCCCCGGCGGCGCCTCGAACTCGACCGCGCCGGGACAGAGTGGCAGCGCGCCGGGACAGAGCGTGCGAACAATGGCAGCACGCCGCGCGCCCGCTGCCGGCAGATGGCCGCGCCACCCCTGGAAGCATCAGCCGTTCGCGCCGAGCTGGCCGGTGACAGCGCTACGCAGTTACCGCCGCCGCCATCGCTGCCGCCCGGTGCCGGGCCGGGCGGCGGCGGCGGCGGCGGCGGCGGCGGGCGGCGCTGGCCGTCGCGTCCACCACCCAGCTGAGCCTGGCCGAGAGCCGCCGCCGCCGCCGGCACGCGTCTGCCAGCTGAGCGCGCCCCAATCAATACCAGGTTAATCATCGAGCGTCGGCGGCGCGCCGCGCCCGTCACGTACCTCGCGCGGAGCCTGCCCCCTCGGACGCCGTCGGCACGGTCACGCCCGTCGCTCGCCGGCGATCGCTGACCTTTCGCCGCACACTGCCGGCCGCGCCGTCCCGCCGGCCTCTAAATTATCGATCGCGGGCGGTGGCGGCGGGCCGGCACTATTTTTCCAAACATGTCGGCCGCTAAACAGCGCGCACCCTGGCGGACCTCAGAAATAGCGAGCCGGCTGCAGGCGGCGGCCGGCCGGCCAGCGGAACGCACGGGCGCCGCCAGCGCACCGTCCCGAGGAAGGCGCCGCGCCTGGTCCGCCACGGCGCCGGGCGCTTCAAGGCCTCGCCGCCGGCGGGCAAGATTCATGGCAACCGGCGCGTCGCCGCGGCCGCTCACCCCCGCGTCACGCGCCTGGCGGCGCCACTGGGCTGCCGTGTTACTGGAACGGCTCCGTGAACACACAAAGGCGAGGCGGCCTCTGATGAATCCGCCGGTCGGCCGCGCGCGACGAGCCGCGTCAGCAGCTGGGCGCGCCGCGGCGCCCGCTCGGACTCCGCATTAACGGAAGCTTATCGCGGCGCGGCGCCGCCGGGGCAGATAATGTAGCGGGCCGCGCCGCCGGAGCGCACGGACGAGCGCCTGCGTCGCGTACGAAATAACCCAGCGATTGCATTTCTTGGGGGTACAAGCATCCAAACTCGACCCCGTTCGGCGCTTCACAGCTGTATCAGCAAAAGCCCGATGGTAATGGAACTGCGCTTGGAGCCGCCTCTGGTCAGCACCGCCGCAGCCGTCCCGTCGCCGCCCTGGTCACCGACAAAGTGCCGCGGACGCCGGCGGTGACCGCCCGGCGCCCCCGGGGCCGCGCGCCGCTCCTGCGTCTCATTTGCAGAACTGAACCGGATGAAAATCAATACGGCGGCGGCGACGCTCCTGCGACCGCCGCCGGCCGCCGGGCGTACCTGGGGAGGGGCACCGACGGGGCGCGGTGTCGGCACCCGGCCGGCGACGGAGGCGCCGCTCCCCGAACCCGGCGGTAGCGGCGGCGGCGGCGGCGGCGGCGGCGGCGGCGGCGGCGGCGCCCGCCGCGCCCGCCCACCGTGCATCCATTCTCAAGCAGACCGGCCAATCAATACGGGTCGGCAGCGGAGTCGCCGCGGCGGCGGCGGCGGTGGCGGCGGCGGCGGCAGAGACGCCCGTGCCCGCCGGCACTCATTTTTACCTGCCGGTGCCGGTCGCCGCAGCGACACCTGTCGCCGGCCGGGGGCACGCGTACTTGATCCGCGCGCGGCCGAGTGGGACGGCGCGGCGCGGGGGCCGCGCGGCCGGCCGGTCGGCGGTCGGCCGACTCACACAGCTGATCCCAAGGCCGCGCCAGGCGGCTGTTGCCAGAGGCGCGGCGGGCGATCGCGGAGCGCCCCTCCCGCGCCAAGACGACGCACACTGCACAGCGCGAGCGAGCGGGTCACTTCGCCGACGTCGAAGGCGCGCAACGTGACGCGAGATGCGCCCGGCACGTCTGACTCGGGTAACTGGTGCATCGGTCACATCGGCTTGGCGGCGTGCCAGCAAATCGGCCGCCGGTTGGCCGGAACTTATTTTGGCGACGGTCACGCAATCACCGCCCACGACCGACGGCCGCGACAAAAGACCAGATGTGGCACCCGCGGCGGGGTGCGGCGCCGCGCGACGCGTCTGCCGCGGCCGCGGCGGCGTTCGTAGCGCGGCTCGCGCGGCGCCAACGCCCCCGGGCGCTAACAACCGGTAGATGAGGAGAAAACGCATACTACCCGCTCTGCATTGGCATGTTCCAAGCAGCTGATTGCACAGTCGGCGAGACGACCCCAGCGAGCGCCGATCGCGCCGGGTCGCGGCCGCGGACGCATCGGACCCAAATGCGTCAGGCGGCCCGATAGCCGGGCGGTGGCGGCGGCCGCCGCCGCGCCAGATGTCGGAGCCGCCGCCGCGCGCCGCCACCGTACCGTAACACGGCGGTGGCGGCGGCGGCGGCGGCGGAACGGCAATGGCCGCGCCGCGCCGCTTCGACGGCGGCCAGCTAGACCGTGGTGACCGGCCACAGGACCCCGGGCGCCAGGTCGGGTCACCGCCAGAGGGGTGCTGCCGCCGGTCACGACGTTAAATCGTGCCCACGCTCGCCGTGCGACCGGACGGGAAGTCGCACGCCGGCCCGCGCCTTGGAGGCGCCGCGCTGCCGTGTCAACCAGATAAAACCGGCTCGCTGCATTCCGGAACGCAGCGCGCGCAACGCATTCCCGGCTGAGTGACCACCCGGCACGCGGCCACCGCAGAGCGTCGCCGCCATCGTGAAACCATAGGTCTGCTCACCGCGTGGGCGGCTGCTGTGACCGCTGGGTCTGGGCGTCGTCCGATGGACGCCCCAATTCCCGACTGCCTTCGAGCAAACTGGCCGGGCTACAGACTGTCAATGTCAGGCATTGCACCGCCGGAAGCCTGCAGCCAAGGCCTGACAGACGTGTGACCTGTCAACGTCAGCTGTGACCGAAGCCCAACTCGGCCTGGCCCCGTCGCCGACGAAGTCTGCCTGTCTTCACGCCACGCGGCGGTTCTCCAGCGGAGACGCCTCCACGACCGTAGCGTCCGATCCAAGCGGGCGAGCCGGCGCGCCGGGCCAGCGGCTCCCTGCCGGTGCCGTGCACAGCCGGCGGCCTCTGCGACAGCAGCGGGGCCCGACACGGGAGCCGCGCCGCTGTCGGCCGGTCTCCGGGCGGCCAGGCCCGGACCAGTCCACCGGCCAGCGGCGGGGGAGGCCGCACCGCGCGCCGATCAAGCCGTGAAAGCTCGTTTGTTTCGAGTTGCGGAGAAAACCCGGCCGGCGCGCGCGCGCGCGGTCGGCGGCGGCGGCGGCGGCGGCGGGCGTGGGGGCACCGGTCGCCGGACCCGCCGCCGACACAACATGGCGGCCGATGACCGGCGCTTGGCAGCGGCCGGCAGCGCCGGTATAAATACGCTTCCGCTCCGCTTGTGTCGGGCACGAAGTGAGCGCGCCCGGGCCGCGGCGCGCGGGTGCGGCGCGTGCAGCGCACAGCAGCCGTGGCCATCGACCGGCGTCACTCACCCGGCGCTGCCATTCCGGCGCTGTTCATGTTGTAGAAGCGGCCCTCACTCATGCTGGGCGAGCCTGCGGACGGAGGAACGACGCGTCAGCACTTGGCGACAGAGAAACTGCGTTGACACGCGCTTCACCGATGCAAAGGTTCATCACACGCGTGAAGCGCGCAGCACAGGCGTCGGAGATGGAGAAACCCCCTTGCAAACCCTCCAGCCAGAGCGCACCATTCCGCGCCTAATCAATGATTCATTCGCACCCGATACAGAGGAGCGGCAGGCGACACAAAATGGCGTCCCAGCCGAGCCCCGGAGCGCGCCGGAAACACGGGGCCGGCATGGCTACCCATCCCCAGCAGCGTCACAACGGCCGCTGGAGGGCGCCGGGAGCGCCCTGGGACGGCCTCAGAAACCGATGTCATCCGCGAGTCACGTCCACTTAAGCCTCGTCTGCATCCGACCACGTAATTCCAAATGGTTTGTCCCCAACTTGCGACACCGGGGTTAATCCCAACTCGCCTGGTTCAGTCTCAGTTTCGAAAACAGCCGCTCGTTGTTACAGTCCATCCCTCCCGTCCACAATCGCCGAGGGTGGGGGTCTGTTCAGGCCCCTGTCGAGTGGCCCAAGGTCACGGCGATACGGACCGACCATGGCCGATGCCATGCAATGGCAGCCCCAGCGCCATGATCAAGGTGATCCTGATCCCTCACCCACGCCCGACCGGTCTTTCATGTGGCGCCAGGACCTCCATGTCACGTTCTCAACAACACCAGCTCTCGCTCACAGCGGCGTTAGCCTCCAGCCGTCGCTCTCGTGGACGGCCTGCGCCCGCCGGCTATACCGCGCCTGGCGGCTTCGTCACGAGGCCGCTGTTCAGCAGGCCCGATGAGAGCGGGACAAGGACAGGGACGGGGACGGGGACAGGGACAGGGGCAAGGGAGGTGAGTCCCAGATCAGTGCGCCGCCCCAGCGGGCCACGGACACAGCGCCGCCGCCGGCCTCTCCCACCACAGGTCAGTGGTCAGGGACACAAGCCGCCCGTCCCGTCCCGTCCCCCGTCCCCCGTCCCCGTCCCCGTCCCCGTCCCCGTCCCCGTCCCCGTCTCCGTTTCCGTCTCCGTCTCCGTCTCCGTCTCCGTCTCCGTCTCCGTCTCCGTCTCCGTTCCCGTTACCATCCCCGTCCCCCGTTCCGCCCCATTCGCGCGTCACCGCCGGCGCCAGGCGTGTTAACCGGGCTGCGGCGGCGGCGGCCAGCGGCCACCCGGTATTGATCAGCGGCCGGCCTGCTGCCGCGCCGCCATCTGGCCGGATCACACACACACACAAACCTCACACACACACACACATACATACACACGGCCGCACAAGATCTCAGGCCGCCCGTCTCCGGCAAGCCCGGCAGAGGCGACGGCAGCGGCTGACGGGTGGGGCGGAGATGGAGCCGGTGCGCGAGGCCCGGTCCGCCGCCGCCGAACCGGCCCCCGGCCAAAGTCCGGCCCCGCTCCGCCCGACGACGGCACGCGCCAGCAGCGGCCCCCAGCAGCGCGCCCGTCCACCGGCGCCGCCGGAGAGCAGCCGCTCGCGGGCCACGTCACGCGGCACGACAGTCCGTCCGTGACGTGACTCGACACGTCACGAGAGCCGCGCCGGCCGGCCCACCGCTCGACGTCCCGCTTCCGCCGCCGCCGCCGTCGGCGGGGCGGCGGCGCGGCCCACAGGTGACGTCACGCGCCCGCTCGTGATTCGGCCGCCATGTTGGCCAGTGTCCGACACCAGACACGCGGCCGACCATTGTTTCTGGGCGCGCTGCTCGCCGTCGAGAGCGACGCGGGGCCGCTCGCGCTGGCAGGGCCGGTCACGGGGTCAGAGCGCATCACGGGCTCGGCGCGGGCCTTCTCAGAAGCTCCGGAGCGGCGGGTTCATGTCGTGGCGCCGGGCGCGACATGAACCCTCGGCGGGTTCGGCGGGTTCATGGGGGGCGCCGGACACCCGAGCTCGAGCGGTCATTGACAGCCAGCGAGTGGCCGACACGGCAGCGCACAGCGTCCAAAACTTCGCCGTAACACGCGCGAAAACAAGCAGCCTCGCGCATGTGAAATGCCTGACACCGCAGTCGGGATCGCAGCCCAGCTCTGGGTGCGTGGTATCATCCGGTCTTGCGAAGCGTTTCGCATCGCGCGGAAGCCCGCGAAACACGACACCCGCGCTCCCCTTTCGTCGCGATAAAGGCGCGGGGCTGAGACTCAAGAAGGGCGAGGGCGGCTGCCGGCTGGTGGGGACGCCCGGCACTGAACTATCCCAATTAGGTTCAAGGCCATCTGGCGGCTCCCAGCCAGCCCCCGCCAGACTATCGCGCTGGTGTGACGTCACCGTGGCGTTGTCAGCGCCTCTATGGGCCGGCTGCAAGCTTATCTTCTCTTTGCCACCACTTGAGCATCTCCCAATAGTGCTCTAGATAAACCCACTTTGGTTTCGGAAACGCGATAAAAACTTTCATGGTGCGCTATTTTCGTCGAATGGGAATGCGTAAACGGATCAAACCAGTTTGCAAAACCTGTCCGATTCTCGCAAGCGTTATGCTATATCATATGTTATAATGCGTTTATGCTACATGTTATAACGCGTTATGTTATAATATGTTATAATGCGAACGCCAAGATGGCAGCATCGGCCACGTTTCGTAATAACTGATGTCCTAATGAGTACGCTTCCCGGCAATACGCGGCGTGACCGAATAAAGCACTTGGGACCAGGGTTCGAATTCCCCCCACGACACGGATTTCACCAGTCTCCACGGCATAACCGGGGTGATGCTACTGACGCTTCAAGTGAAACGCAGATATCAACTGTTCATAACATACGGACAAAAGAGCATGCCTTAAAAAGGTCGCTGTGGGCTTGGGAAAAGACGTCAGATGGCGATCGACACTGCACCATCCAAACCCGTGTCCACGAAGCTGGACCGCGAAAACGAACGTTATCAATGGCGGATGCCACAAAGCCCACGCCCCAGATGACGACATCCGTCAATAAAAACGGCTAGATAAGTACCTGCATCGATAAGGCATTCCAGGTTTATTTTTTTCCGAAGCTTCGCGGGAATAGGACCACAGCTTAATCTTGCATGCCGCACTCATCAGCCTTGGATAAACCTTTGTTCCGGCAATGATCGCAAACCATCCCGCCAACAAACCGAGCGGGGTTCGAGCGGGTTCGAGCGGGGTTCGAGCGGGGTTCGAGCGAAAACAATCGGATCAAAACAGCACCATGACCACCACGACTAACAAGCGCGATCTGCTTAACGCCTCTCCGCACCTAATGTACCTCGACTTGATTTGTCCTCGATGCGCCACTGGAGGCGGAGCGGTGAGCGGCTCCCCATAGCGAGAGCGGCTCCCCAAAGCGGGAGCGGCTCCCGACAGCGGGAGCGGCTCCCGACAGCGGGAGCGGCACCTCACAGCAGGGAGCTAATCCCCACTGCGGGGAGCTGATCCCCACAGCGAGAGCGGCTCCCGACAGCGGGAACGGCTCCCGCAGCGGGGAACTAATCCCCGCAGCGGGAGCGGCCCCCCACAGCGGGAGCAGCTCCTCACAGCGGGGAGCGGTGCCGCAGGACGTCGCCGGTCCTCCTGGCCGGGAGCGCGGACCCGGGTCGCGGTCGGGTGACGGAGCGCCGCAGGTCACGATAACGAACACGGCGCGGCCGGCACCGGCCGATACGGGCACGGGCGCCGCTGAACGGCTGATGGGCATAGGTCGGCACTGCTCGTCGTCCACGGGCGACGCGAAGGTAAACGAGGAGAGCTCACGAACCGAATCAACTGATCAGTCGGGGGAGGAACAGGATCAGTCAGGGAGAGGGGCTACCAGGCCAAGTCCAGACGACCGACGGCGTCGAGTCGTGAGGCAGAACAAGCGAGTCCGAAGGGTGGGATGTCTGCACACTGCGTGTGTCGCGAGTCAGGGCAGACTCGCGTGATCTCACCGATGCGAGCTGAACGAGCTTCATTCCACGTTTGGGGCTTCGGAGGGTTAATGGTGCCCTTTCAGGCAAATGGTGGGAAAGGGCGAACTTGACCGGTTCCGCCGTCAATCGCGCCCTCGCCGCTCCCCCTCCTCGCAGAAGAAAAACGCCAAAGTGGAAAACAGCTCTTCCATACTACCACGTGCTTGTATATGCTTCAGATGCTGACCTCACGACTACCATAGCGTAGCTCGTCTCTGGCACCAAACCATGGTCTACCAATTCATGCTATAGGGCACGGAGACCAAACAAGTCCAATGTCAGATGTCCTTTCCTACTAGAATCATCACATCAATCAGTAGCTGCCGAAATCCAGCAGACCTGCAGTTCGCACGCTACCGTGCCGCCGGACGGCGCACACCTGCTGTAGTCTCCAAGGCGAGGCAGACAATAAGACCCAGTCCCAATCTGGGGAGACCAAAGTTTCTGTGGCGCAGACCGTACGTCTGTCGGACCACACAGCTTTGCCAAAGGGATAGATAGGATGTGCGCACACGACGCCTCGGCCTCGGATGTCGCAGGTCCCGAGGCGAGACGGGACAATGACCACGTTAAAAACCCGCCAGTGCCTCGGGCCCGCTCAACCGCCGCGGTAAACAAACACCAGCTCAGCTGGGTCAAGAACAGAGCGTCCCACTCCTCAAGGCTGCCGACGGCCTTTGGCGTCCCACGGTCCCGCGCGGCGCGTCATGGCACGGGTAGAGGCCACACTCAGCCAACACCTGCATCACGCCACGCTGCGTATTAGGATAAGAGCAGAACATCCTGCGACTTGGTGCGGTGTCGTAAATGAGCGAACCTCCTGGGGATGGGGATCAGAAGAACCATCCGAAAAGATGGCCACAGTGAGAAGACCTGATGACGTCATCCTCTCCCCAGCTTTACAACATAACAAAAACAGGAACTAAAACGCAAAATAAAAAGGCAAGCTTGCAATACGAAGACAGCGTTCACTTAAAGAAAGGAGCAACCGAGACCAACATCCCCACCGAAGCATGTGTTGCTTCGAATCACATACGAGTGCCACTTCAGCAGACCGTGTGCACTGC